TTTTCTGAGTACCTGAGCCCCGGTGAGTTCTGCCTAGGCACCTGGCCACCCATCCCCTCGTCCGTCACCACATCCGGCCTCATCCTTCCCAGTGATAGGTGTCAGCGAGGAGCGGCGAAGGAGGACCCGCGTTTGGGGGTGACCACTGCACCCTGGTCCTTCCCACACATGAATGGCACGAGGCAGAACGCCAACTTGGGTCACGCTGCAAGGGGGGCCAGGAGTGGCGACTCTGAAAAATGAACCTCCAACAGGGAAGGTTGGCACATTTGTCCTGCCCTTTGTTTCTCAGCGGCACTCAGCCCTGTTTGGAAACAATTAACTGGGGACGAGGTGTGCACCGCGGATGGCCTGCAGCCTTTTCCACTGAGATGTTCGAGCACAGCCTTGCTTCCCAAAATGGGCGTGTGGAGTCCTGCAGTCCCAAGGCGGAGGCCCCGGTCCAAGCCCTCCCTTCACAGGGGGAGGCTGGGGCCTGCGACGTGTACCCCGTGACAAGGACCATTACCGCCAGAGCAAGAATGGGTAGGGGTTGGGGAAAGAGCCTTGGATAGAAAAGACTGATGTTTTCCACCTGGAGATGAGGAGGTGGGTACAGGTCCGTCCGCCCTGGCTGCAGCTCCTGTGGGCAGCTAAGTGGAGGTGGTACCACATCTGCTTGACACAGGAAGGACCTTGGAGCCTCCTGCCGGGCTTGGATCTCCAGCCAAGCTGGCAGGGTCAGGTGAAAAAGGCAGAGAGGCCGTCCAACAGATGCAGACCCTGGTGACAGACCGATGGAGAGCTGGGCGGGCAGCCCCGGTGAGGCAGGAAGGCACATGGAACCATCCCAGCATCACGCCAGTGTCCCCCACTTTAGTGGCCGCATTGGAGAAGCAGGTGGGAGTTACCTCCTACCAGAATAGTGCAAGGGTCACTCCCCATGGACCCCAACCCACCCTCCTCCACCGGCCAGTGGTTTCTGAGCTCCCCACTTCGACCCCAAGGGCTGGCCTGGCAGTGCATGGAAAGAAGGAAAGACAACTCGCAGAAATGTCAGGATGCCTGAGACAGGGTGCTTGTGAGTGCCAAGCTGTGCAGGACGGAGTTGGGGGGGTTGGAGTTGTGTGCAGTCTTGGAGTCTTCCTGGAGGAGGCGGGTAGTTAGGCCTTAAATGCTGAGGGCACTTTGCAGCACAGTATTGAGGGCAGGGAGCAGGAGGGGAGCATGTTGTCTTTTTATTCACCCAAAATCATGGCTTGGACTTAATTAAGATTAAGTCTAGCACAACCCTGCTCCAGTCCAGGCACCTGTGTCTGACCACAGCCGGCTCCTGAAGCATGTGGTCTGTACACAAACAGCATCAGCAAAACGCTTTATTTTTGCCCAGAAGCAGCCACCCGGCACCAGCGTGTCCAGCGGCCCAGGCCTGGGGGATAAGTCTCAGGGCCTGTCTGCGCATGGGCAGCTCGGTTCTCCTGAATCAGGCGTTAACCGTGCCCATTTTGTCGCCCCCTGCAGGCACCGGTCCTACCTACACCACAGACCCTCTCCTGTCCCTGATCCTGTTAGCTCTGCATAAGTTCCTTCGCCTGCTGGTGGGGCACTGACAGATGCCGTCCTGCGTCCTGCGCCCTGCGCCTCAGCGGCCCACACGGCCTGCCCAGACCGCGGGTGAGGAGCTGTCGCAGACGGACACAGAGAGACTGAGAGAAGCATGACAAAGTCCACGTGGAAAATAAATAAATCATATTTTTGGGGAAATTACACAAATGTAGAACACCTGAAATAATGCATCCAGTTTCCAAATAAGGTGGAGTTTGGCCCACACAGAGTGCACGGGATTTATGATTCTCGACTTCTATGTGCTTTTCTGTTCTAAACTTGGCCTCCGGGTCTTCATTTTGCACGGTCTTTAGGGTACGATGTAAAAACGTTGGGTCACAGCCTTTCTGACAAAGCAAAATATTTTTAGTAGATTATTGCGTTAGGATTTTTCTTTTATTTACTTTTTTCTTTGGGGGATTACCTTTTTAAAGTAAATTATTTCTTTTGACACATTTTGATTTAAAAAAGATACATCTTGTCATAATTAAACTTCACTTGTCGATAATATTTATTTTTAAATAAACATTGAAAACGAGGTCCGACACTTGTTTATAAACTGTATTGTATACTGCTGAATAACAGTTGAATAAAAAACGACTTTGAAATAAGCTTTCTACAGCCATGTATGAATGTTAAGCCTCAGGGCCTAGTGCAGCCTGGATGTCATGACCTCCTAGTCCTTGATGCCAGCTGCATGCTCGCCTGGATGCAGCCCAGGGCTCAGGACAGCCCAGGACACCTGGCCGAGGCCACACTGAGCAGACAGGACAGGAGCGCTTGTCCAGTGTCCCCTAGGGACAGGGGACCTCAGGGAGCCAGGAGTGAGAGGGGCCCCAGCCTGGGTCCTGGAGGAAAGCAGGTGGCTGGGAAGAGGTGTGATGTACACCAAGAGCCGGCCTCTCCGCTTTGGGTTTAAGCTAATTAGCCAACCCATTTGCCCGCTTGGAGATTATACATCCAGATGTATTTACTGTTACTGGGTTCACTGCCAGTTTGGGGGGGTTTGGCGACAAGATGGGGCCGTCCACACTCTTTCTCCATGCATCTAAAGATTGCTTTGAGCCTCTGAATACATGTGTTTGGGACAGGTTACACACATCTTAAAGAAATAGACACACCTTGGGGGCTGTTAGTCTTCATTCTGTGACAGGGTCGCATTAAATAGCCAGCTCTCTTGGCTTCGTTGAAAATCCAGCCAGTTTTAAACAAGTGTGTTGTCATTGATGTTGCTCGCCAAATACCTCCATCTCCTCGGGACAGCATGTGGTTAGGACTACGCTTCCTGGCATCCTGGGGCAGGTGGCAGGCACCACGAAGCCAGCTCCAGCCAGTGAGCTGCGGGCGGAAGGGGCGTGCGTGACTTCCAGTCCAGGCGCTGGAGTGCTGGTGCAAGAGCCTCCCAAACACTCTTTTCCTCTGATAAAGACAACTAGCAACGTTCTGGATGGTAAATACGCCGCCAGCCTGGGTCTCGCGTTTCAACGTGCGCGGAGCGTCCCCTGCTGGCCAGCACTGGAATTGCAGCACGATGAGGAACCAGCCTTGGCGGCTGCAGGCAGCCTAGCCTGGGGTTGCTCATTATTTCAGCAGAATCCAGCCCATCCCGACTCCTTGGCAAAGGCTGCGGTGTTTCCTGGACGGGGAAGAGAAAAGAGAAGTGCATGGGGACGACCCCACGTGCAGAGGCCGCCAGTGTAGAGCTGGCTGGCTGGGCTGCCTGTGAGAAGGCCGTCTTTGGCCTGCTGTTTCTCGTGGACACCTTACGCTGTCTCACATTTCATTTCTATTGATCAGCGCCAATCGAGCTGTAAATTTAATCGTTTTGTCTGGTGGATAGTGGTTCTGTTCCGAAGGATCATCTCTTTTTATAGTTAACTCAATACTGCAGCGGGCTAATGTCATGTTAAATACGGGCCCTCTGTGCTTGAACAGAACAAGGCGCTTCCCGGATGCCAGGTTGAATGGAAAGGACACGTCAATGATGGGCTGACGTTGTGCCAGATCACGCCGGGGACCTGGAGCTGGGGAGCCGTTTCCCATCACCCGAGGCAGCCCCTGCAGACGCGCAGCCAGCCAGGCTCCTGCCTGGAAGCCACTGGCCCAGGGGTGATGCACACGGGAGAGGAGGCAGCTGTGCTTCGGGGAGCTGCTCCTGGGCTGCCCCGTGTTCTGCACAGATAGCCCTACATCTCCTCCTGGGGACCAAGGATTTCCCGGAAGGACGTGGTGGGGGAGGCCGGGCAAGTTCCCTGAAGTGGGCGTTTAACCACCCGCTCCCTGCAGCCCCTCATGCAGTAATCCAAGGAGAGGACAAAGAACGGGCAGCCTGCGTTGAATCTTCTGGGAAACATGCAAACCAGGAAGGACAAGTACCCGTCAAAAACGGAGCCTGTGGGACTGGACTCACCGCCCACTACGCTCTTTCCTTCGGATTTTGTTTGCAGCCCGAGGCAGATGGGTCCGAGGACAAAACAATTCATTTCAGCTCAGGATGAATGCACTGAGGGTGGCTCAGAAGCTCTGGCCCCAGCCTGGGAGGACCCCCAATCGGCTGGAAGGGACTGCAGAATGCGGGTCAGCACTGCAACTGACACGGAAATGAGGACGAGGAGGCAGGGCTGGAGGCAGGGGCCTGGCAGGGGGCTGAGGAGAGCGGAAGGGAGGTGCGGGGAGCCAGGCTTGCTGGGGAGAGGCAGTCACGCCCCGCACCCCGGGGAGGGCCCCTACACTGTACCGCTGTGATAGGGCATGACCCACACGGGTCCTTCAGGCAGCACGCGGCAGCTGTGCCCAACAAAAGAGCAGTCTCCCCACTTGCCTACAACCCGCCCACTCGCTGTCACCCGCCTCCTGCCTCCTGCAGGTCCACAGTCTGTGAGCACCTGTGGGCAAATCCATGGGCACTCAGGATGCCCTCTGCCCACCGCCACCCTGCCTCTGCCCTCAGCAGCCTCTGACCGCTGTGGTCCCTCCACTGGCCTTACATGGCCACAGGCACTGCGGCCATTCAGAATGTTCCACCAGAGGCCCAAAGCGAAGGAGGTTTTAGAGTTACCCAGAATCCCATTCCCAAAGCAAGGAACTGATGTTTTGAATGACATGTACCCAGTTTCCGATTTAAGAACACAGCAAAGAAGTTAAGTTGAATTGCAGAAAACCTGAGTTTTCTTTTCCTTGCGACTGTTGATTTTTCTGTCTTGTTTTAGCAAAGTACCGTATACAAAATGTTTCATTTTGCTTTGGAAGGTCTGCAGCGTGCCTACAATCCAATTTACCAACGTATCGGTACTTCACCTACATAACCGACACTGCTCCCTAAATAACCAAGAGGCTGCTGCTCCCCCCACGGACCCAGCTCTAAGCCCCTAGAGGGCAAAAGTTGGATCCCGCCACCCCCACCTCCCACAGCTTTGCCAAACTGGATCCTAATGAACGAGAGAGCGCTTTGAACTAAGGCAGCCACAGCCCCTTCTCAGAATGTTAATGCCCATAAAATGGAGTGTCACTGTTACAAGGAAGGCTCTCCTTTATCAGCAAAACCTGATTCCATTTTAGTGATTCATTGTCTTTATAGAACTCTGAAAGGCTTCTAGACTGGGGGTGACGGCTGGGGAGGAGGCGGCCACACGGCATTGAATTGCGGGGCACTCCTGGGCAGGGGAAGTCAGGAGATTACAAATGCACAAATAATTAATTCAAATGAATACTGTGAGGGGCTCAGGCTGAGAGACATTCAATTATGTTGTTCAAAGAGAAGATGCTGATCTTCAGCTGGTCTGTTCCATGCTGCAAATAATAGAGTGCTTTTAATTTGTGCAGCAGGCATGTGCCTCTTCTGCTGTGTAATCCAGTCCTTGGGGAACACCAGTAATATGTGGCACTGACTGCATAAGGCTCCCTGCGAGGGCACTCAATCAAGGCAGCTCTGACGTCCCTGCCTGTCTCTTCATGTCAGTCTCTCAACACTCAGTAGGAAATGCGTGAGAGGCTAATGGATGATGGATGGATGATGGATGGATGGATGGACGGACGGACGGACGGACGGACGGACGGACGGATGGATGGATGATCAAGATGAATGGATGGATGGATGAGTGATGAATGGATGGATGGATGGATGGATTATGGATGGACAGATGGATGGATGGATGGATGGATGGATGGATGGATAATGGATGGATGGTGGATGGATAGATGGTGGATGGATGGTTGATGGATAGGTGATGAATAGAAGGATGTCAGATGGATGACGGATGGATGGATAGATGATGGATGGATGGTAGATGGCTGATGAATGGATGGATGACAGATGAGTGACGGATAGATGGATGGATGCATGGATGATAAATGGATGAATGGATGGGTGATGGATGGGTGATAGATGGATGGATGGATTGATGGATAGATAGATGGATGATGGATGGATGATGGATGGATGGATGCATGGATGATGGATGGATTGATGGATGGATGAATGGATGGATGATGGATAGGTGATGGATGGATGGATGGATGGATGGATGGATGAATGGATGGATAATAGATGGATGAATGGATGAATGGATGGATGATGGATAGGTGATGAATGGATGGATGGATGGATAGATGGATGATGGATGGGTGATGAATGAATGGATGATGGATAGATGGATGAATGACAAATGGATGGATGGATGGATGGGTGATGGATGGATGGGTGATGGATGG